TTCCCAGCCCTGGGGCTACACTGGGAACTGTACAGAAGTTCAACTAGTTTGGTCTCACTGGACCCAAGCTAAATTAGACTACTTTGGAGATGCACCTAATTTATATCGGGTCAGCCATTTATAGACCAATCTAAGTATCCTGAACTTCTGTACAATTCACACATAAATCCACCTAACTAGTACAAGGTCCACACCTGGGTGACTAAGTTACATTGGGTGGCAATGTTTAACGCGATCTAACCTCCCCCTAAATTCCCGAAATGTCTGGTATGCAGCCACAATCAACAACTTCCACATACCAAATAAGAAAAACCCTTTCTTCAGCAGCCCAAATGATAATGTTAATCCAATGATACAATTAATAGTACCAGCCACATAGACATTCAGCTGGTGCTCATCATTGTTGTGTCTAAGAGTTCTCCTGTAGCACTTCCCATCCAATGGCATTAAAGGTATTTTTAAATATCAATAAACTAAAATCCCACACATAATCCTTTAAGGAATAAAATAGCATTAAAAAAACTCCTTACTGAAATAAGACTTTCCACTGATTTCAGTGGATTAGACCCTAAATCAGTTGTTCTCAATCTTTTTTAGACTCAAGGGTTCCCTTTACAGAATCAGGGCACCTCTCTGAAAATGCCAGTTTAGTTTTCATTTGATGCATCCTGTGGCAGCTCTGAAAGGATCTCAAGGACCCTAGTACCCTTATTGAAAATCACTGCCACACATGCTGTTTTCAGAATAGCTCTTCTCCCACCTAGACTTTAATAGCTTGATTTTCAAAAGGGGTTGCAGAGCTCTTTTTAAAAATCTGACCATGTGATTTGCTTAGTCATACAGTATTACCCCATTATAATGCTTGACATAAATCCCAGGCATACTGATTGACCACTAATCAAACTCCCCACAAATGAATGGTTTATGATATGCCCACATTTTCACTGATAGCAAATTTGAAGCTTAATTTAAAGAGACAGCTCTTCAACCACCATAGTCATGGTTCATTGACCACATATACCAGTGTACTAAATTGCATGCTCTTTTCTTGTAGCGACATGAAGATTTAAGTTACAGAATGGAAGGTAGAAGGAATACTATAAAATTACAATTCCAAAAACTGATGATCTACTGACCTAAATTAAATCAGGGTATGAGGGTCAGGAGCAGCTGATGAGCCTAATAAGCAAAGATTTCCCCACCACCACCAAATGGAGAGATTTAATGTGCTTAAAAATGTAAAGGACTATATGATATAGAAATATTGTGAAAATTATAGCTCCAAAAGATGTATAAGAGAATAGGCATATGCTTAGCATATTATGGAGCACTTTTATCGTTAGTTTAGCTACTGGATCAACCCAGCTACTAATGAATTCGACAGGTTAGCGAAAGAACTAGGTTCCATTCCCAAACCTTTAGCCCTTCTCTTCAGGTCAGCAAAAGCAGATTATGTTTTAAAAGAAACGAGTTTGCATGGCTCAGAGCCAATCCTTAAGATCACTTATCCAGCACAATTTTTCTGTAATTTCTAGTGTATGGATTTATTGCATAAGGACTTGGTTGTTTAGAACAAAAATTTATAGACCAAAAAACCTAAAATGTGAGAGTGAATAGATCAATATACTGGAGATTAACCAATAAAATTCAAAGCTCAAAACTATTTAAAATTTGGAATCTGAATTTTTGTTTTATACATATGCAAGAAAGAACATTTCCTAAAGATGAAAGGCAGCTTTTATGAATAAGATCTGAAAATCACTTGCATATCTCCGATGCATCAGATTTATTCTGGCAATCAAATATGAGTGCAGAAATTGTGAAAAGGTAGCTCTCTTTCTCAAATAACTCATTCCAAACAGATATTTTCAGAAAATGTACATCCAAACCTCATATCTGTAGGCTAAATACTACCACACAGATGATAGATGAAGTGCAGTGGAATTTCTCCCTGATTATAATGACAGGATACTTTAAAGTGAAGACAGCTGTGGAATAGCCTACATGTTAAACATATTTGAAGTCTGGGAAGATTGCTTTGCTACATCTACAGCCAACCATTAAATATGACCATTTGTCAAGAGTTTTAGATATGCCATTCTATAAAGAGATTTAAAAAATATAACTGAGACGTAACTCCACCTTCATTTCAGTAATGAATGAGTGAAGATGAAAAGCATTTAGAACAAAGCCTTCTTTTTTGCCTTACTGATATAAATGAAAGTAATAGAATATGTATCATGAAGTATTCTACCCTCCAGTTTCCTTTCCGGATGTATTTTAATACAGTAGAGCCTGTTCTGAGATAGAAGCACTTACTATTTCACTAGATTAGACCCCACCTGTTACACCCTCCTAAAAAACTGACCAGCAGGGACCAGAATTTTGGACTTCCCTCATGACAGTGAGGGGCTAGTCATGCTGTCTCTTACGCCTCTTTCCACCCCAGTGATTCTCAGCCAGGGTGCCATGGGACCCTGGGGTGTCTTGAGATCCTTTCAAGGATGCCATGGGGTGCCACCCAACATTAGCACTTTTAGGTGTGCAAATACAATTCGCAAAACTAAACCACAGATCTCAAAGAAGACTCTATAGTGTTACAATTGTTCTGATCTGCTGTGGTCTTGGAATTCTTTGCAACAGAAGAATTGCTGTATTGTTTTGTCTAGTTAAAAATGAGTGAAAACTAAGAGCTTGCATTTTTGGAGGAGTTCCTTGAATCTGAAAAGGCTAAGAATCACTGATCTAGCCCCAAGCATCTTCCTTTTCTTTCTGCACAGTAGCCCAGGTCTGGCTAGTGCTCCCACTCTGACCTGGTGGTAATGGCACTGACCTGGGAGATGAGGGTTTGAGTTTCCTCAGGCTGACGATGGTATAGAGCACAAGCCTTCTATTTCCTGGACAAGCACTCTTAACCAGTAGTTTTGCACACTGTCATTTCTTCCTTCTCATTCTCTAGCCCTGTTTTAAAAAGAAAATGGCCACAGCTACTTTTTGTTTGGGATCTGGATCCTGCCAATACACGCAGTCAGGCATCTCAGGGAAATTCAGCACCATTCTGCCAAGTTTCTGAATCCCACTGGGGCTTAGGCGGAGTTAGACTAGCAAGACAGACTAGCTGCTCACACCAAAGAATTTCTGGACATGCACAGAAGCAGATCTGCACTCACTGCCAGGGCCTAAAGTCACGTAAGGCACCTAAAAGTTTAGGTGACCACTCAGTGGGGTCTTTCTGATATCATCTTTTATTGGACTAAAAAAAGATGGGAGGAAATGTTTTGAGCACATAGCACCCTTCAAATCCGGGAGAGACGCAGACACAGCTGAAGAAGGATACTTTGTGCCTAAAAGCTCACCTAACAAGTCTCCCAACTACGCAGTTGGTCTAACGAAAGACATCACCAAAAAAACCCTTTGGCCCTCATACATTTCCTGGACCTTCATAGCTACAACACTCCAACCCCTGCTCACTCCCCCACTTCCCACCTCTTTTTGTATAGTAATTTTGGACATGGAAACATAACATATATCTAAATTGTTTTAAATGCTTAAATCCTTTTTTGGTTCTGATGTTCATGGATTATTTATACCTTCCACATAACTGAGCTGAAGTGAAGAAGTATGCTAGTATGCCACCCCAACAGAGGCAAAAAACTGTATTATGTCACTGAAAATCATAATACCTTCTGTAAGCTATAGAGACAGTGATGGGAAGTGCCTCTTGCCACATCTAAGTAACAGAGTCAGTATTCCTTGACATATTTCAGTCATGTTGAGGCAGAGAGGAGGAGCTGCCATGCCATCACTTATTTATTACACTGGGAGAGAAGGATCTCCCAGCCCTATGCCCTGCAACCACAGGACTTGGGCTGGGAGATAAAGATCTCTCAGCCCTGGCCCTGCAATCCCAGATCAAATCCTGGGAGCTCCCTGCTGCCAGGGCAGTGGGACATTGTCCCTGACTGAGCTCAGTGTAATCTCTCTCTGGGCAGGGAGCAATCTCCTACCCCCCTGCTACCCAATTGACCGGGAGTACATTTGCTATACATGGGCTACTGCACATTAAGTAATCTCAAGTAAATTTGTTACTTGCATTAGCAGGTAGCAAACCTACTCATAATTAGAGCCAGTTACTATGCAGTAATTAGTTCTACTGTGCAGTAAAGTGTCTCATGTAGATACACCCATCAAGTATATCAGGGACATCATGCTTCCAACCTGAGAAGTACTGTGTATTACAGGGTTCCCTGTACCCTTTTCCCTGTCTTGGACATCTCAGCAGGGTCAGTATAATTTGGTCCTTAGTGCCATATTGTTTCCTCTTTCAGCTACCCAATCACTTTAAGAAAGGATTTCTGTGATTACATAATCTGTAGTCAACCAGGTCATTTTGAGAAAAAAATTAAAATGACTGATGTACTTATGCTACCACATGAGCAAAGACTTATTAGTATATTTTCAGTATATCTTCTTCTTATATCAGAAATTACATGAAAAAGCTGGTCTTTCAAATATATTATTTCATAATACAGTTGCATTATCAAATGTATGGCACAGAGGAATATTTTGCAGCCATATTATTTGATACTGAAAACAACCCTCATTGGAAAGAAAATATTCCTCTTAGTTAAATCAAGACAATCACAGATAGACATTTTTCCCAAATCTTTGGCTGTATTGCAATGGTTGTTTCAATTTGTAATTTCCAACTAAACATTTCCTATCCATGAATTAACAATATATTTACTGACTTGTGTCTTTTAACAGTATTTATCCAACATAACAAAATAAACTGCAATTTGTTATACTTTTTTTTACAAAACATTTTATAAATATTTTTACAAAATGTATACAAAGCAATTTCAAGTGAGACATACTATACAAATGAAGGTATTTAAGCAAATAAAGTCCATACCACACTGACAATAAGTGACACATCCTTTTTAAGTGAAGTCAGTCTGTAAGGCCTCCCTAATCTAACAGATAAATTATGCTAAACTCTTAAAAGTTAAAATATTTTTCGTAATTGCCAGTTTAAAATTTGTTTTAATCTTAGGCAGTATTAAAGAACAGTGGAAATCATGATGCTGACCCAGCAAAATATTTAAATACATGCTTAAAATTAGGGATATATCTAAGTACTTCACTGGATCTGGGTCCATATGCTTAATAACAAATTCACACTTTTTAAACAACAATAAATAAAATTATTCTGCTTCACTGAGTACCAATATTCCTAAAACTGGATTCAGATTAATGAACAACGTAATGTTAGCAATCCAAGGCTAGGTTTACTGAATTTTGTTCAATGGGTTCCTGACAGAAGAAATCTGGACACACACATATGTCCGACCTAATAAACAATGATAAAGAACATTTCTCAGTCTTCAGTTATATTTCTCAATGAATTGCTGCTCCCAAAAAATAAAACAACATGAAGTATACAAAATCTGATACTTGAGTTTTGTATATGCTGTACAGGGTCTGGAACTCTTATACCCTGTTTATGGGGGGACAAAGAGGAACAGGATCTATTAAGAGGCATCCATATTTTTACAACATAAAAACTAATTATGTAGTTGATGTAACTAAGGGTTTTCCTTCCTTGACAGTTCATAATGGCTCTTTAACCATTAAAGAGTTTTTAAAGAAAATGGAAAGAGCTAAAAGATATACAGCCATCAGGACACAGACATCTGTACCAAATCTCACAGGCAACAGGCAAAAACTATAGAGTCAGTATCACCAACAGGAAAAGAGATAACTATTGTAATGATGCCCAACTAGAAATTTAAAACTGGCAATACCCTATTATTATTTTTAAATATTTTACATGACATTTGGGAATGTTGGATTCTGACAAACTTATGCTTAAAAATTGGCACAAATTTAAAAAACCGCAATTCATAATGTACAAAAATATTTATAATTCCATTCAGGTTGAAGAGGAATGAAACCTTAAATTATATGTTAAATAACATCATCTTTCTCAGGTTGCACTACTGGATTTGGTTTTCTTTAGTGATCACAAGTAGACTGCAGCTCAATACAATGTGCTGCACTGTAATTTTCAGCTGGCAAAAGGGTCAGATTCTACCCTCTTTGCACTACTACAAATCTACAGAGGGCAAAAATCTGTCTATTTTTTTTTCTTTCCTGGCAGCTCTGGCAATCTAACTGACAACCACAGTTTATCATAATGAGTCTTTAGGTGACAATAATGGTAATCAGAAAGTTTTGGAACATCTGTTTATTTTTTTGTCAGGAACAGGGACACAGAAATAGATAAAGAGTATGCCTTAGAACCCACAAGATCTATCCTGGGCAGACAGACATACTAGATTCACCTTAATAATGTCAGAACACTTGTGTGCCCAAAAGCAGTGATGATCAAAGTAAGCTAGTAAAAAAGCAGCATGGGCAGAAAAAAGAGAACATCACAGATTAATAAATAAATAATAAAATTCTATTCTCATCAACATGAACATAAGCCAAATACAAAAACCATGCAGGGGTTTCCTTTGGCTCTAAAATATGAATGAATAATTATACACTTTTAGATATGTTTTAACAATGGGATAACTGATGGACTTTGGTCTGTACATATTTTGGTAATTATGACTGCTGCTGTAGATGACTAACATTCTCTGACAGCAAGAAGCAGAAACAAGCAAAAATAACACTGGCCTTTACATTTCTCAGATTAAGGCTAATGTCCTCTTAAAGTATAAACTACTTAATATTGTAACACAGATTCCAAATAAAAGTGCTTTTGACACTTGGTCTGAAAAAACAAAAACATTTATACCACTTCAGAAAGACTTAAGTTGACTATGTCCAATTACAAAATTCAAAATCTTTTCCTCAAGAGTTAACATATATATGTTATCTATAAATATCCAACAAATAAATCTGTGGCTCTGTCATGGCCTCCTTCTTTACACTTTGACATTTATTGGCTTCCATTTTTCCTTCCTTAGTTTAGCATTTAATAGTTCACATTGTGCCATTTGACTGAGATACATACAGTATTCTTCCATAGACTAATTTTACCCACTACAGATAAATTGTGATGTAGTGGTTTCTGCTCAGTGAGAAACAACAGAAAAGCACTTTAAGTATGAAGCCCTGTAAACATACAGACAACATCTTTCAAATTTAAATCTTAAAACAGATAGTTTCAGTAATAAATCAAAAAGACAATCATTTCTGAAGAGAGGTACAGTGGGTTTTTAATCATAAGGTTTTCCTGAAAAACTCAAATCTGATGATTTTGGGTAAAGGAGGACTGGGAGATTTTTGTTTCCCTCAATTTAAAAAAAATCTTGAATAAACATGTCCTATCATATGACTGTGATTGTCAGTATATTACCTTATTATCCAGGGCCAAATGAATTGCAATCTCATTAAATTGCAGTGTTAAACAATTACCATAAGCACTATCATTATAACACTTGAAATGTGTAGGCCCTAACAGACTGCATTCTAATAAGGATTAACTTTACTGGATATCTCACTGTAACCACAATGAGTATTGCTCTCAAACACAGAACAAATCTAGTTTAGAAAGGTTAACCTTTGACATATGTCAGGCTGTACTTGTGGCGTCATTCACATTTGCTCCTACTAAGAGAAACATAACTTGTCCATGGTACTCTAACTATTAACACTCTAAGATACTATTTACAGCTGCTTCTAAAATAGAGTCAGTTTCTACAACACCTTCACTGTGGTCTGGAATAAATTTTTCCAGGCAGTTTTCCTGTGAAGCAATAGGTGAAAAATTTGGAAATTCTAATTCTACAGAGCCACCACCAGTAGCCTCACTCTGTGACTGTCTCCCAGTTTTTTTCAGTTCCAAAATGTTTTTAAATGTATTTAAATCCTGTTGGGATTCACCAGAGCCTTTCATGCTGTCAGGATGTAAAACCTCATTCTTTGGAGAGCTCCTTGGAGTTTTTTCCTGCAGGGAATTATTACATGTTACCTTTGAATGCGATTCAACCGTATTCCTTGATGTTTTATTATGAGTACCATGATTGGCTCTTGACAATGTTTTTGACAAGTCTTCAGAACTTGATGAATTCTCACTGGACTTGGCAAGGTCTTTACCAACTACCTTTTCTTCAGAAATAGCCATGAATTGGCTTTCAGGAGAACAGCTAGCCTTCTCAAACTTTAAAGCTTTAGTGAGGCTTTCTGCTTTTTTAGTAGAATTGTTTCCTCCTTGTGGTGTCACAATGTTGTTAGGCACTAAATGAAGTTTGTCATGATTTGCAGATTCTGCTGTGCTGGATTTTGGTCGATCTTTTGCATGCATTTTGGTAGTCTGACACTGAGAAGTCAGTGTTTTGCTAGACTGATGATGATCACTTTTACTGGACTGTGCTTCATCAGCTGTTTTATCTAACTGCTTGGCAGAGCAACAAAAATCAGCTTGATAACCATCTGAAAATTAAAAACAAACATTTTAGTTTGGAGTTATTGCATGCCAAAGACAATAATATCTACATATTGTACTAAACAGAACAAGCACTTTGACATTTCCCTAGGTATTACTAAGGTTGCCACACACCCAGGTTTTCCCCAGACATGCCCTCTTTTTGAGTCCTCCTATCTCCATCTGGGTGGGCTTTTCAAATCTGAGCAAATGTCCGGGTTTTTGCTTTGCTCTGCTGGTGGGAGCAGGGGGAGGGGCAACGGTAGGCAGGGAGCTGCAGGCAGGTAAGTGTGTCTGCACTCGCCCCGGGAACTGTAGGCAGGTAAGTCTGGGTTGGGGGGCTGGGGGGTGTTACCTGCCCCTTCCAGAGAGGGAAAGGGGCAGGGGGGGCCTTTTGAGGGCCGTGGTCAGGCAGGCAGCACAGGGGCCAGTGCCCATGCTTGTAGGGGTGAAAAGGCCAGGAGATGCTGAAGGGGTAAGGGAGGTGGGCCATGGCCAGGCCTCCTGGCGCAGAGCGGCAACCCTAGCCTAGTGTAGAGGGTGTCACAAGCCTCCCCTCCTGCGCCAGGGCTGGACTCACTCCCCCACATGCTCTGGCCTGGTCAGGACAGGGGCAGCTGGGACCCCTCTGGTAGGGCTGGGGATAGCAGGGGGCTGTGGGTTAACAGTGAGGAGCACTGGCAGGGTTGGTGGGAGCAGGGGGCTGCAGGTCAGGACTGAGGGGCACCAACAGGGATGGGAAGGGGCAGAGGACTGCAGGTCACAAGTAAGGGAACAGCATGGCCCACGGGGGCCGGGCTGGGGTCTGTGGGTCTGGAGTGAGGCACAGCAGCAGGGCTGGGGGGGAGGGGCTGCGGCTTAGGAGTGAGGGACAACAGAATGGGCAGGGGCAGGGCAATGTCATATCACTGCCCACTCCTCACCCCTTCCCCCCCTCATACCCCGCCCATGACAGTTGTCCTCTTTTTTGGAACTAAAAATATGATAACCCTATTACAACCCCACAATAGTATCCAGACACCAGAAAACTTTGCTCATAATTGCTCTCCTCCTCATTTGAAAATGTCCAGTAAACGTTACAGAGAAAGTGAAACCAATTATGAGGCTAAAGCCCTCAACTGGCTTTTACAAAATACTGTTGTGGCAAACCCAACAGTTCAATTAAGCAGAGAAACCATTTGTATGCTGACAGTGAAGTGGCTTCTTCTGTAAATGTCAGCATATAAGCACACTGCTTTAATGAAACTACACAAAAATTTGAAGTTAAGTGTGCTGCAGATCAAATTCGCAGTTTTGATCAAATGAATGAGTAGAAACACTAAGTGGTAAGAACACTGCACTCCCAGAGAAAGCCAGCCACTTCCCATGAACAAAACATAGTCCAGTTTATTTGAATGCCTAGGGTGATCTCAGCATATCCCTTTTTCAGCACTACTCTGACCTTTATTATCTGCTATTCCAGCATAATGAAGTGCAAAACCAAGGGAAAAATTCTGGACCTTGGCAGAAGGTCCTGGGATCCAAACAATCTCAGCCAGGCAGTAGTTAGCATTATCATCTGGGCTGAGTCCTTTCTCATGACGAGAAGACCCAACAGGATAGCTTGGGGCAAAAAGTCTAACCGGAAGGTTTTCAACCATGGCATAAGGAAGAGTGCAGAGTGCCTGACTAGAGGCTTCACCTGAAGCAAAAAGACTCACACTTGTTACAAGTAACCCCCATCTGCAAAAATGGACCAGAGTCTGATCTCCCACTCATGGCATAGGAAGATTAATCTACTGAAATATTCTGCCTTTGTTTTCTAAAGATCATGGAGGTGTGCTGTGGATGCTGTCTGTCATGATTTGTACATAATACACCTGAATGTAGTACAGGAAGGTTTGGGAATCTCTCCTTACCATATGAGTTCCCCTGCTTTGATATGGAGTCTTATTTTATTCATTATCCAGGGACTCTGCACCTGGAGGTCATCAAAGCTCCCTGACATACTACAGAGGAACCCATCAGACTGACCGCATATGGACAAAAAAGAGGAAAAAGGTCATTCCTTTGCACACACTGAACAGGTCTTTCCACCAAGTAAGGGAGGACTGAACTACATGAGGGATGTCACACTCACAACTAGAGTATACTTTCCAGGGAACTAACAGGACTGCATACACTAGTGTTACAGAAGAACAGACAGCCACATGGCTCAGAATCAAGAGGGAGTTCTTTACTGTCACTGTAGGAGAACCCTTAACGAACAGGAAAAGTTCTTGTTTGGGCTGGGACTTTGCTGACTTTGGGCTCATCTACATGTGCCGCTATGGCACCACTGTTACAGCACCATCATTTAGTACTTCCTTTTGGAAGTACTAAAAGATGGTGCAGTAGCAGCAGGTACTACACTGTGTGCTATATAACTGCCATCATGGTGACCATCTTGAACTTGAGCCTGCCAATGAGAGCACTGGGCCTTCTTGGATTCAAGATGGGACACAGTACTCCCTTCCTCTTTAGAGCCAAGGAGGTACTACTGTAGAACCCCTTTTCCTGAGACATTTTCAACTGCCCCCAAGGCTAACAGGCAGAAGTCCTCCTGCTGAAGGAACATCTTGTAAGAAGCTTTAGCATAAGGGTCAAAAGTATGGTTCCACAGGGAGGACAAAATGAATCCAATACCAAGGTCAACAGAGCAAGCTGTCAGGGAGATGGCAGGGTGCACCTACAGTGAAAATGTGCATGTGGGCAATCATTGAAAGGAAAACTAGGAAACCCACAAGAGACAAAAGCTCATGTGAAGGGATGTTACTGAGAGATGCCAAAAATAATAGGAGAACTAAACCTGTGCAACTAACTGCGCAACTGAAGGGCATTCAACTGATCTACTTCAGGCTTCTAGTCTTACAAATCCCCTGACTTTGTGTTCCTTATATTTCTAACTAAAAGTAAAAAAAGTCTTTCAAGTACTTCCAAGCCTTTTTTATACACAGAAAAGGTCTCCCTTCACAGTAGCCATGCACTTCATAGTAAAAAAAGAACCAAACTTCACACTGAAAAGAAGGGAAATTGAGCAGCCATATTTCTAAAATCTGAGAGATTTTTCCTCAAAATTAGACCAATTTCAGAAGAACATAAGAAATGCCATTTACAGGGCCAGACCATAGGTCCATTTTTGCCCAGCATCCTGTGTCACACAGTGGCAGAGAGTGGATGCTGAAAGGGAGAGTGAACTGGGTATGACCAGGGTTTTTTCCACTGTTCCTCTCTCCTTTTCAGCTTCCAGCATTTGAAGTCTAGGAAGTTCTGTTTCAGAGGCTGTATCCATACTCCCATGCTCAATAACTACTATGCGGCTTTTCTCCAGAATCTGTCCAATCCCTTTTTGAATCTGGCCAAACTGTCAGCTTCCACAACATGTAATAGTAACGAGTTCCACATTTTAATTACACGCTGTGTGAAAAAGAACTTCCTTTTGTTAGTTTTAGCTGAAAGGTTTCTGTTTTATCTTCTATTCTCCCTCCCTTTTCCTGTATTTATGTGTTACCCTGTTATATAGCATTAAAGGGAGTCATTCAAGAACTATATAAATTACCTTTACTGGTTGACCAACTTTTATTACGTATCCACAGATGACTGCACTCAGAGCACACGTGTGCCTGTGGGTGGGGAAGATGGTCATGTACCTTTTAACCTGACAGAAATATGAGGATTGACATCCACTATCTCTTACTCCATTAAATAAGGACTACAAGATAAGGCACTAAAGCATTAATTGCACCATCATTTGTAAAGAAATTCACAAACACTGTAGCTATGTGAATACAGCATCTGGCGGAATACTCTCATAGAATATTTGAACATCTGAATCTTAAATTCTCCATCTTACATGCCCTGAATGTCCATTTAGACAAAAACATTGGGATGCAACAGAAGCTTTGAACTACGTTACAAAAGTTGACTGTTTCTAATTATGGCAGTCAGCAACAAACTGGTTAACAATGCTACATTTAAGTCATCACTGGGCTGTGAAAACAACATTCAGAAACATGAAAGAGGAAATTCATACTTCACTTAAAATATTGTTTCTGCCTCTCTGCAGGCTCAAAAGCAAGGCCTATGCATGTGAGGACTGAAGCTAAGCAATGTGATTATAGCAGGCTTTCATTTTTCAGTGTGCCTAGAACATATACTGTATTTTCTCACATACAACTTGCAACTTTTCCATAAAATTAGGCCCCTAAAATTGGGGTGCATCTATTAAACAGGGAAGCTGATTTTCTGATCAGAACAGAAGCAGCTTGCTTTGATTCTGACTCCACAGTGCAGCTGCTGTTGCAATGCGATTCAGGTAGTTGAGCATGTCAATTGACTTGGCTCACACCTTCACTTCAGAGGTATTAACCATTGTCTGCCCTTTTCAATAGCCTTGATGTTCTACTTATCAAGCTGACCTTCCTTGGGGTAATCTTGCTGTCCACTATCTGTTCCCAGTCTCTCTCCTCTTAGTTCAGCTTTATTTAAACAGGAAAGAGAGGATAATTCAGCTGAAGATTAGGCTCTATACAGCCATAAGTCTAGAAAAATCTTTTCTTCTACAGTCTTTCTTCAAAAACAAGATGAGTATTATACTTGCGGTATGTTATATGCATAAACATACAGTATTTCCCCAAAATTATGTTAAAATGTAGAGTGTCTTTTGATGAAAAACATGTCAATTTGCATTCCTAAATTTGCTGGTGATGACTTATAAAATTAAGTAACCCAAATAGGACACATTTTTTTTAATATTACAGGTTACATATACAGTTTTCTAATTTAGGATGTTGAAGTTAAGCAGTACTTACCAGGATCCACTAGTGCAAGACGCTTATCCCGGGACAAAGATGCCCTTTCTTCTTGGTTAAATATCCTGTCTATCATAACCATTTCTGCAGAAGGATTTATCCGCTGAAAAGCAAGATTTCTTCAAAGTGACTTCACATATTTTTATAAAAAAATTGCAGCTATGGCTTTGGAGAATGGAAGGAGCAGTTTTAAGTAAGAATTTAATTTTTGTTTTCTGTTTTGCGTAGCACTAGTACCAACCTTCTGAGGCAGAGGCTTTTTATTATTTCACAGTGCCTCACACTATCTTAACTGTGAACACCAGGTACTAATGCCTTATAAATCAATGTATTTTATTCATAAAAGCTTTGTTGGAATAATGAATCAATATTCCAACTATCAAATCTCTCTCTCTCTCAAGATTAATTGCATTTTTAAACACTGAACAATGAATGGCTCAAAATAACTTTGTTAGAAAAACAAAACTCATCAAGAGATCATGCTGTAGCATTTAACAGCACGTCTACTATTTCCTGCTTTCTTCCCCTGAACTCCCTGGAGCAAACAGTTCAGTTACAGCCACTGCTGGCTAGTATATTCATGCAAATATAATTACCATAAAACACTGCAGAATGAACTCATTGGCTCCTTCAGTACTCACACCTCACACACTTATATATCAAACCAAGGCACATTGTTTCAAATATTGCTTCCTCTCAATGTTACAAAAAACTACTAACAACAGGGCTCAAAAGCTGAAGGGACAGACTTTAATATCCAAATTCCCTGTTTTTGCAACTATGATTAACAGATATCTGATGTTAGCTAAATGTCTAATAAGAAAGACAGATCCTAAATTATGTCAATTGTACCCACAAGTATTTGTGCCTATAAAACTTCAAGATAAAAAACTACAATCAAACTCATATACAAGATTACAAACCTGAAACAGCTAAACAGGTAACCCTGATTCTTCTGAAGTGCATTACTAAATTATCCTTTAGATAAATTACAGCAATTTTACTTTTTATAGCACCGCACCAATTACTGTAAAGGCACTTTATCTGTAAGCTTGTTTTCATGTGTTTCTAAACTTTCTGTAGGACAAAAAGTAAACCTTAAGCTGAAACTCCATATTTGTATTTAGTTCATATGTGAATATTTTTCAGAACAATATAATTTCCTTTACTGTCTTCTGATGTACTAACTCTATATGTAGAGGTCTACTTAAATTGCAGAAAAAATAAACAATTTTCACGGGTTAGTCACAGCATAAAAAGCAAAATCCGTGGATATTTCTTGGATGTGCTCTTGTGGCCCCACCCCTTGGCACCGACTGGCAGAGAGGCCCTGGCTAGGGGAGGAGGGACAAGGGGTTGGCTGCTGCCCTTTGTGCCATCCTGCTACCTGGTACCTTTCCACTCACCCCCCTGGGTGGGCTGCAAGACTGGGCCTCAGTGGCAGCAAGGACACTGGCTGGCTGAGATTAATTTACCTAACACAGTTTAAAATTACGGTTATGCTAAAAACAGTGGGGTATTCTTTAAACTGAGAGCACAAACTGAAGCTGCTTTGATATAAAATCAAGGTGAATACAAGGTACAAGGAAGAATGGTTATCTCTGCAATGTATTTCTTTCCCTAGTGAAGACAGCTTCAGTTTGTTTTTCTTTTGGATTTCTACAGATTAACAAAGTTTTGTTGACTAGTTTTTAAATTAACACACATTAAAATATACTTCTCAGAGCAGTCCAATAGACTTTCTACTTAAGAAGATTTGGCAAATGCTTAAATGCTTTTGCAACATCAGTGCCTACGTTTTATTCAGTTACTAGGTACTCCTTTGTCGACATTTGGGCTTTATTCCCTGGAACTACTTAACGGTCATCACAGACTAAGGAAGGAACCAGAGCAAAGTAATACAGTTCTAGGCTCTATTTTTCTCTGTACAGACTTGAGCAGCTACTTAAAAAGTAGCGGATAGTAATGCGGAGATGGCACTTCCTCAGTTCCAGCTTTAGCATCAACCACAGGAATCCAAGCAACCTATACCTGGACCTATAACTGGAACTTTAAGGCAGAGTGAAGGGTGAGGAAAACAGAAGGAATTATCCCCTTTTGCTAATAAAGGGTACCCTTTACAGATGGATCACCAAAACACAATTTGGGCCTGAATTAACAGCAAAATAAAATCAAGTATCATTCCATTTCAGAAACCAATCTAAAAGCGTGGCCCAGAAAGAGACTGTCACATTAAGGATGTTTTGATGAGTCAACTGTGAAATACATTCCATAAAAATAAAAGTTATCTTGGTTACATATCTTACCATTGCATCTTCTAGGAGCAAACATCTATACTTATTTAGCATAGCCTGGGTCCTTTTCAGAAGCTGTGTAGCTACAGATTCAAATTCACTGTCCACTAAAAAGATACATAGAATATGTTTAGATAGTGACTCACGTTCACAAATGTTTTTCTTTCTTACACAATGCATTTTCTTACAAATCCTCACTACAGCTTTATCACACTGACTTAAGAAATAAAATTACCTTTTCTTAAATCTTCCTCAGTTGGCAGTGATCCTTGGTATACATGATATGAGAGGAGTCTCTGGATCGCATCATTTAATGAACTGAACTGACTTTTATCTGGTGTGACGGAATGTGCCTGATCTTTCTGTAACTGTTGTAGAATACTAAAAAAAGAGTAACATCAACACTTATTCTAACAATTAACATTTATTCTAATATACTACAATCATATTTTATTGCAGTTTACATGCTGACAAAGGGAATGAGATAAAGGTAAGGGGAAATGTCAGTGTAGCCAGGGCTCAGGCACAGGACACCCACCAGACAACAAAGCATCCAGAAAAGTCAATCCCATCCTGCCTACTAGGTTGCAAATCAGGAAGACAGCTGGGCCAGGCAAGGAATAGGGAATAGCAGGGGGAATGTGGCACACAACAGCCATGAGACAGTCATGGGGGGACCAGGCGGAGGTATCAGCTTGGTTAGCGGGGCTGCACCTATCACATTTGAAACTGCTGGAGATAGCACATGGGAGAGAAGCACCAGGGAAGCTCTAAAGGAGTGAAGCTACACCAGAAACCCTCTCCCTCACAGACGGCAGACATGGTGGATGGCAGGCAACTAGCTGCTTGGCCTGAGAGACATGAGTAGCTGGGCTGGCCCCAGCTAGGCAGCTGAGCAGCACCCAGGGAACCAGGAGGGGAGTAGCCAAAGCCAAGGAATGAGGCTCAGAAAGAAGGAGGAGGAAGAAGTGCCTGCAGCAGCAGGATCCCTCAGGCTTCCAGGAAGGCTACTATACTGGTTGGACTGACTCACTCAATAGGCAAGGCAAGGCAAGCCCAGGTTTTGTTTATCGTTTGGGATTGTGACCCTTAAAAAGGCACCACTTTGGAATGGGATCCAGCGTTCCTTAAAGGGGCAACACCAGAGGCAAGGGGGAAAGGAAAATCAGAGAGACTACAGTATGAGGCTTGAAAGAAAAGCTGTCCACATCTGCTACTGAACATCTCATCTGGAGGGATGGGGGCCGGGTGTAGGGTAGGAGGAGCCCCACAAAGACATCTGGCAGGACCCTTCTTAACCCATGTGACGGACTAACTTGAAGATCAGGTATGTTCCCATTCAACCCATTCTATCACTTGAGACCAAGGTGTGGTGGGCAAACCCAGGGATGGTGGGAACAGAGAGTGGGTCCATCAGTTAATACTTCACCACTGGAGGACCTAGCCCTCGCCCCAACTACAGTCTCTATAAAAAAAAACTTAAGTAGAAGTAAAAGAAAACAAGTAAAAAGAACATGACTTACAAAGTTCCTTTTGTTAGCTGCTTAGTAGCAGGCCTCTTTTGTCCAACTGTATGACCATCCACCTAGGTCCAAAACATAACTCAATTACATTGGCACTACTTAGAAAAAATAAGTAATATAATTTCTCAGTATTTACTGACAATTAAGTCTAACATTTGTTCAAACAGATATTTGTTGCCACGTCAACTAAACATAAAAGTTACTTACCTTACAGTGAACTGAGTTCTTCAAAATGCACTGTCCATAGGCATATTCCACTCTGTGAGAGCATGTACCCAAGCTTGGAGATTTTGGTAAGCAGTATAAATAAAGCATAGAAGTGCCCTACTGCTCATCAAGCTTCATACCAAAAGACACAAACTACACAATGTGCCTAATGCACCTCAGTTTCCTTTCACCTATGGAATATTAGGTAAACAAGACTCTGGGAAGGAAGAGATAGAGGGCAGGTTGTAGAGTATGCATATGGATAACACAGCTGAAAGAACCCATTCTGCAGTCTTCTTCAGAAGATGGTTCATATGCATATCCCATTCTGAATGGAAAGCAATAACCAATGCAGTAGGAGTAGTCTACACAACAGCAAGGCATCCTAAACCTTATTTCAGGTAGCTTTGTATTGAAAATGTAGTCTGGCAATGCACATCATAGTGATACAAAACATATGGCCCAGCAGAACAAGAAGATGGCCACTGCTGTAGTAGAAACTAGTTGAAAGATCTTGTTGGTTAAGTTTTGGAATCTGTCTTGAGGGAGGCAGGCTGTAGCCACTGTGGAGGCCAATTACTTTGAGTTTCTGTATGGCATGAGGTTTAATTTCTGGGTGCTTACTCTGAAACTAAAATTCCAGAACAATTTGAGTATGTATCAAACAGCAGCAAAAACCTGCAGAGAGGTTTTCCATTTCACTCGCTGGTCTTTAAGATAAGGGTATCCCAAGCCTTTGTTTCTCCTGAGGTGTACTTCTACTATTATAAACACATTGAAGAACATCCCAGACCATTGTTTGGCCCCCACCTTTTATACTAGGATTAATAAACACTCCGAGTATTGTTGGCAAAAAAATCTTCAAACTTGAGGCTTAAAGGCATATGCACACCCACTGTCAAATGTACATATGGGCAAACATTCAAAGGAGAACACATTATTTGAAGGCTCAGTACTCCATACAAAACAGGAGGAAAAACATGTAGTTCATCATACACTAAACTAAAAAAAGACACCTTTCATATCTGCAACGAACAATAATAGTATGGATCCAATTATATTAAACTCCATTACATATAAAAAGAAAATCTCATGGAGTGACAACAAGCAGGGTACCCTCTGAGAGATCTGCTGAGTAAGTAAGTCTCTAAAAGCAGAGTATATAAATTAGCAGACATATATTTACTCCACTTTGTTGATTTATTATTATATAGAAAATAGAAGATGGTTCCTGGTACCATTTGAAACTCTAGAGCAGGGCTCGGCAAAGTCCAGCCTGTGGGATGGATCCAGTCGGCAGTGGACTCCATTTCCCGGCAGCCCCTGCCTGCCTGGCTGGGGCCCGTCTCCATACATGGAGACCTCAGCCGTAGCTGGGTGGTGACAGCAAGGCTGGGGTTGCCATAGAAACTGGCCCCAGCCACGCTGACAGGGCCTGCAGCAAAGCAGAGGGCTGCTCTGGAGCCGCTGGAATCTTGCAGAGGGGGCAGCTTGGTCGGGGCCAGGGCAGAGCCACAATCTGCAGCCTGCATGCTCAGGGCAGAGGTGTGCAGACAGCAGATCACAGCTCTGCCCTGGCTCTTTGCAGTGGTGACAGCATAGTCCTAAACTGGAGCAAAGCCCCAATCTGCTGCCTGCATGCCCCTGCCCCAAGTATGCAGGCTGCAGATCACAGCTCTGCCTTGGCCCCAACCAACCTGTCCCCACTGCAAGATCCCAGCAACTCCGAAGCAGCCACCTGCCTTACCCTGCCCGGCCAGCATAGCTGGGCCTGGTCTCCATGCCAATCCTAGCCTGTGGCTAGGGTCTCCATGGAAACCGAACCCAGCCATGTGGGCAGGGGCTGCTAGGAAACGGAGTCCACCTGCTGGCCAGATCCACCATTTTGCCCCTCCCCACCCCACCCAGCTCGAGACTCCCAATGACATTCTAGAGAATATCATTATGGGCTTGGAAGATACTTCTCTCTACTTTTTGACAAAACATCATTTAAAAAAAATCAATGATGGCATTATGATGGCGGTGTTCAAGGAACACTGAAAATCATGGTTAAAAATGAGATTATAGGTAGTATTTGTACACTGTTCCTAGTTCTTACGCTTCACTTAAAATAATTAAAAGAAAAGTACCCCCCCACCTGAATATTTTGTTGGATAGATGATCCAATTCCTTTTTCCTGCTGCAGTTGTGCTGTTCCTAAAGACTGCTGTATGATTTTACCTCCGGAGTCCTGCCCTATAAAAGTATATATTAAAAAGACACTATTACTTAAGACTCTTGAACCATCACAAAACATCTGAAGTCCTCTGCCTAAACATATTATTTAATTTCTGAAAATTACATATCATTACACACGTATCTGAGGAAAATGATGCTCACATATACAGCACTGAACACTAAAAATAAAGTTAAAAATAAAGTAAATCAGTCTTAAACCTTCTTGTATACAATTTACATATAGAAAAAAAATCAATTATCGTAAGCATTACCTCAAAGGAGATTTATGGAAAAAGAAAAACTGAAATAGACCAGCTTTTCACTATAATCCCCCAAAATACAAGGTAAAGAAACTGCAGCACTATTAAATATTGCTAAAGACTGTACAACAAATTTGTTGTAGATTAATATGGGCTTGTCTAGCATCTAAAGGTTGCAATTTTATTTGACACCCATATTATTTCCCACACCGGTAGAAGAAATGCTGTTAAAATTTTCACAGGATACACTTTGTGTAGATTTGTTTATTTAGCATGCAAAGATTAGCAAAGCAGGGGAAAAAATCAACAGCTAGATTACGGGGGTCTATTTCATAAGAGTCCTCTTTTAAAAATAACTGAAATAGAGTAATTATAAACTGAATAAAATGTCAAGTAATATGTCCCATACTGGCTTATTTATTGATTTGATGTATGTGCTGCTCTACACAAAGAAGGCCCAGTTTACATGAGAAATGTTACTCTTTTAATTAAGATATTGCTATTTCAGGAGTCCACCTAATGTCTTTTCATGATCATTACCTGCCCTGAGTTAAAATGATATTTATATTTTCTTTATCAAAAAAATCCTGTATAGTTAATTAGCTTTGAGATTATTTTACACCAAGAAGGGCAAAATGGTTGGTGTTCATCATAGGAAGATGATCAGAAATGTCAGTGTCATAGTCTGAACTTTACAGAAGACCTTGGCTGAAAAGTGACTTCCTATTTCTCACTTCCTCTGCCAGAAGAAGTGAGACACACAACAGATACCAAGTATTTGGATTGTGGAGAAAGATTTTGATAGCTCGCTACCTGATGCATCTTGTTTATCATTGAAATAAATGACAGAGTCCAGAGAAGAGCCACGTGCATGATCAGAGGTCAGGAAAGTAGACCTTACAAAGACAGGCTGAGAGCTATGGGGTTCTTCAGACTGGAAAAGCGCAGGCTCAGGGATGATCTAATGGCCACTTATAAGTTTATCAGGGGTGACCACCAGTATCTGGGGGAATGTTTGTTCACCAGAGTGCCCCAAGGAATGACAAGGTCCAACGGTTATAAACTACTGCAAGACCGTTTCAGGCTGGACATAAGGAAGAATTTCTTTACTGTTCAAGCCCCCAACGTCTGGAACGGCCTGCCATCAGAGGTGGTTCAAGCACCTACACTGAACACCTTCAAGAGTAAATTGGATGTTTATCTTGCTGGGATCCTATGACCCCAGCTGACTTCCTAACCTTCGGGTGGGGGGCTGGATTCGATGATCTTCCAAGGTCCCTTTCAGACCTAATGCCTATGAAATCTATGAAAAAAAGGATGAAATTATATGGCCAATAAGGGCACATCCAGACAAATGCAGATGCTTGGTTCCCCAGAGACAAGTAGTACTTGTCCTCAGGGAACATCCATGCACACAGCAAGTTACCCTGGGGGTAGTAGGGGAGGCTGGGGCTAGCACTGGGTCCTGAGGACCTCCCGGGCCTGCAGCTGGGGAGATCCTGCCAGGCAGAGCCTGGCCAGCAGCCACAGCATAGCTCCAGGCAGCGCATGCTCAGCACTGCCTGAGCATGACCTGCCCCATTTTTTTTAAATCTGCAGGGGTTTTTTGACCCCTAGACATCCAGGGGTCAAAAAAAAAAACAAAAAACAAAAAAAAACCCACAGGAAAAAAAAACAGAGCTGCACCCACATGGGCAGCATGCACTTGCAGTGCTGAGAACACCGGACTGTGAAGTATGTGGCACTGAAAACATGTTTGCAGCGCCACATAACTCACAGCCAGGCTCATCTGGACATGCCCTAAGAGTCCTGACTGGAAAACAAAACATATGACCAACTGCTAAAAGTCTGCAGACTCCTGAAAAATGAAAGATTAATTAAGCTTTAGGATCCCATTAACACAAAGCACTGGTCAAAGCCTGACATTATGAAGGATATGCCATTTCACATGCTAGAGGGATTAGGGAAAATTATCAAAAAAAGACCTTAGTTGACCTGGCAATGTGTTACTCAGAAGACTTGTTAACTGGGGTTGTCTCAAGCCATCTTGTGACTTTGATGCAGAAACTGGTGAGGTCTGGTTCATAATTTTTTTCTGAGCCTATAAAAATGCCAGAAAGATAAATGTCAGTTTAATACGCACCAACAGTTTTAACAAATGTAAAAACATTGCAACAAAAAACCCCCTAAAATTAAACTATTTGCTCTCCTCTACTCAAGGTAAGAATGGTTTCAAAGAAGCAAAACAGACATAAAAAGGGAATGTCATATACAGCAAATTAATCTTTCACTTACTCACTACCAGAAATGTTTTATTAAATTATATTTTTTTCTGTGTAAGCCACTTTCATCCAATGTACTCTCCCCTCCCCAATATAAGTCTTCCATGCAATTCATTTCCTTCAAAGAACAGTATCAAGATGCAGTTAAGCTTGGCTTTACTTTCTCTCAGTAGCAACTCCGTAAGCCCTGTATCAGACACCTTGAGATGCAGAACCTCTGTGTAATCATCTTGTAAATTTAAATCTTAAATGAGCTTGCACATAAAGCATATTCATTATATTTGGACACAGCACCAGCTCTCCTGTGATATTTTAATGAAACCTGAAATCCCATGATGGACTGATTTTAACAAATTAGCTATTTTTGTGTATTCCCTTCTCTTCTACACTTCCTGGTCTGACACAGAAATAATCAGATCCTATATAGCACAGTGGAGTTTGGTTCTTGTAAGTCTACACAGTATTTAGCTGAAACCTATTTCTCATGTAATTATGTAACACTTCTAATTTATCCTAGCAACTAGTAGTATTAGCAGGATTAGAATGCTAAAATGGCCTGAGAGTCTGTCCTGAAACTCGTCCCAATAAAAAGGAAATGTCATCTAGCCCTGTTATTTCTTCAATATAATTCAATGAATGCCTCTGTCTTGAAAGTGCAAATTTCAACAGAAGGGATAATTCAGCAAGGGGAGGAAGAAATCAACAACTAGCTATGTATTTGATACTAGCTGAAACCTGCAAAATATATTCACAATTAAATTTTTACTGCAAAAGTATTTCTTTAAATACAGGATTTTTAGTTATCCTTTGACCGAATACATTAATGGAATCAAAATTTCTCACCCTCAAAAAGGCTACATAAAGCTGTCCATGTGTAAACATGGGCTTAGGAATATAAATACATATTTTGTTAGAAGTCTGACCTTGTGACTTGTTTATAGTCATAAAATAAGAGGGCCCTTGTACACGTGAGAAAATTGCTCCTTCTAGTGGCTTAGTTTCCCTTTTTAACTATTTTATTGCATATCAGCGTACACGTTCAGCAGCATGTCACAATTAAATTTCGTAAGGGTGTACACATTTTGATTTAAATGACTTTTTTACATGGCAAACTAAAACACATCCTATACATTTTAGCTTGCTACATAACAAATTACAGTGATATTCCTCACAATGACCCTATCCAGAGAAGGCAGCGGGGAGGGTGTATGGGATGCTGGAAGCACAGGCATGCTTGGGGAAGCTTGGTCTTGATGGGTTTCCAGTGCCTCATGCACTGTCCCCATCGCCTTCTCCAACTGCCAGCACACCTAGCCACCCTCCTGCTGCCTTCTCAGGGCAACCAGCCCATTCCCAGGCATCTCCAGGCAGTGGGAAGGTGGCAGGGAAGGTACACAGGGCACTGGAAGCCTGCCAAGCTCAAGCTTCCCTGAGCACACCTGAGCTTCCCATGCACCACTGGATCTGGTGGGTGCTGCCTGTGAGCTGAGGCTGTACCCATGCAGCTAGCACCCCATCTGGGCAGCCCTGGGGAGCACTGTTGATGCAGAGGGAAACACCAGGCCCCACCACAGCTCAGGGTCTGCGCAACCTGGCAGTAGCTTGTGCAAGCAGCCTCCACTGAGAAAGAAAAAAAAAACCGTGGTGAGAAGCCTGATCTTTTTTTTTTTCTTCCCTTCCCAAATTCTGCCTGTGTCTTCCATGGCCAGAGGGTAAGCTGCCAGCAGGCTGCGCAGCCCAAGCTGCAAGGGGACACTGGTGCTTCCCTCCAAGCAATGGCACCCCCCAGGCAGCACCCACCCACTGGCACCCCACCCAGGCAGTCCCAGGCAGCGCCATCGCTGAGGAGGGAAGCACCAGGGCCCCCTGCAGCTCAGGGCACACCAGCATATCACCCCCCGGCTGCTTAATCTGTCTGTCCCGGGTTCTTTCAGGAAGCATTGTGATAGACTACTGAGACAACCAATCAGAGTGCTTCGAACAGACAGCATAAGGCTATTATTATTATAGATATATTCTTAAAGAATTGTTTTGAAAAGAACAGATTTCAAAAGTCACCTGTGCCTCCCCACAAAAGTAAAAAATGCTCAGCATCTATATAGACACTATGAATTTTATTTAGTATCACAAACAGAAACTATGCATGATCCTTAACTCTGAATAAAAAGCTTTTTTTATTAAAGGAATAAACGTGTAATTGTACTTCTGACATTCTTGTATATGGAGATTAAGGGTCAATTCTTCAGCCACCCTTCACTTTTATGCCAGCTACTTACATGTGCACCCAAATGCAAAAGTAAACCCTGCATAAACACACAGTGATAAAATAATTAATTTAGCAAATATTTCTTTATGGATTACTGCATCTGGCTAGTCATATTTATGAAATGCACCCACCAAGCCCTGCTGGGCTTCAGAATCTGCTTCCACAAAGCAGCTTCCATTAGGACCAAATAAAACCCTTGTGATGGCACTGAATGTTTAGAACGAAGCTGGGCTGGCCACCACCTCAGTTCTTCCTCCTAAATTCAAGAATTCCATAGACGTTCAACACTCAGAAGACAGAGAAAGGAGACAAGCAGCATAAGCATGCAAAGGCAACACTTTGGAAAAGCCAGAGTTTCTGAGATACTAAGGATTTTGTTCATTTGTAGTGGTGGAAATTTCTGGGAAATTTCCGGAGACCAGGAAGAAGAAAGCAACTGCTGCTCCCTATGCCTTCTCCAGACTGGGGAGAGGCTCGGGGAGTACTGCCCTGCAGTTCTCTGGTTAACATCGCCTCTCCAAAATTCCAGTGAAATCCAAACTAGAGTTTCTTGGGTTGATAATGAGTTTGCATTTCAGACACTGCAGAAAACAACATGGGCAGTTTTCTGAAAGTGGAGGAATCTACTTAGAACCAGGAAAAGGCAGGGAGCTTCCCCAGTGCCTCTTTAAATGGAAACATGGAACTTGGGATGGGAGAACCTCCCCAATCCCTAGATGCCTGCACCAGTTTAAAGAGAGCTGCCTGTCCTCTTTAAACCTGGAGACCCCTGAAGAATGTGTGAGGAGCAGTGGGCAACTGCTCCCCCCTTCCCTACCCAGTGCCCAGGAGGGGAAGGAGCAACAGGACACTGCTCCCTGTGCGATTCCCAGAATGGGAATCCCTGGTGTGAGGGACATGCAAGGAGCAGTCCCCAGCCCCCAACCCTTCTCAGTTCAGGGAGGAGTCAAGCTGGTGCTGCTCCCTGCACCTGCTCCAAGCAAGAGTGTCCGCAGTCTCAGAAAGGCACAGGGAGCGTTTCCAGATCCCTTAACTCCTTCCCATTCAGGAGAAACTCTTGCAAAGGCAAGGACTTCTTTGCTGAATGAGGAAGACCCTCCTCCCAAATCTGGCATGTCCTACGTGAAAAATTTAACAAATGCTCATACACTCTTAGATTTTATAGGGAAAGAGACAAGAGAACCTGAATGCCTGTACATGGCCTAAGTGACTCCGGGAAGTGGCTCACGCATACTCGCTCCTCTGAGCGTTTTGCAAATCATACAGGGATTCTTGCACAAACAAACACTAATGGCACAAACTTCCCCATATTTAGTGTGCATCCGTATAGCAGAGATGTGGAGATAGCAATGGAAGCAGCCTAGCTGCATTAGCATAGCACCCCAGCTGAGCTAAATTACCCAGCCTCTCATCAGGGACAACTGGCTCAGGAAAAGCACTGCTGACCTGTAACTGCTTCTGGTACCCAAATCAAATAATTTAGAGATCATATATCTTTATACAGCGCTACTGCATTATGCCCCATAGACATAATGCTGGTAACTAATTACATAAAATACAATTTAACAATAAAATAGGGTCCTTTGAAATTAAACCACAGCTGTAGATACAGAAAGATCCTACACCAAAACCTAACAGTAAAACAGAAAGACTGTTGGAGCCATACAGCACAGAGCTGACAGTGCCAATTCAGGGTACATGTAAAACCCCAATGGACATTGTTTTTGAGAACATTCCTAAAATGCAAGGGCACACAAATGGGACTGTCTAGGGGCCACTTAAAAAAAGAACAGGTGCTTCTGCCACCAAATTTGCCCATGCAGTGTTAGATTGCCTGGTAATTAGGATTCAGATACAATACATCCCTGCAACTCATTCAACTTCATTTCCTAAATAACATTTATATCCTTCATTGACAATTACATCATTTTTTTTAAATGAAGCACATTAAGGAAGGAGTGCAAGTGTGGGCAAGACGCCAAGAAAAATGCATTAGGGGACTGTTCTCTCCTATGTCGTCATTTTTTATGCTTGAGAAAAAAGAAATATAACTGGTTAATTAAAAAAACAGGATTTAACGTTCTGTGACTGACTGCAAAACCAGCCATTCAGCTAAGCACTGGCATTATTTTAATACCTATTTATTATGCATACAGAGATGTTTAGCTTCAATTTCATATATGAGAACCCCAACGAGATAAATCAGAGTAGCTCTCCTGTCCCACATCTCAAAACGCATGTTCAGTTCCAGATCTAAAATTACACAGAATATCACTACTGTAATGATTTATCTCGTAAGAGATCTCTTTACATTTTTAGGTTTCCCTTTCACAAATCATTTGCTGAGAGAATACTTGGGATTTGGACTGGATGGCCCTTAAGTCTTTCTAACCCAATAATTCTAGAATTCCACTTAAGCTGTTATTGTCTCTCGTACTAGTCAGCACAAGACAGTTTTCCCCATCTCAAACTTGAAACTGAAAATCCGTATCACTTAAAAAATGTGGCCATGCTGGACAAAGCAGCAAAGATGATACACTGCAGGGACTCATCCTGCATGGACAAAGAAATGGCCAGTGGCATCTTATAGCTCTTCTTGATCTCCAATTTTGGTCTCCAAAACCTGAGGGGGCCCTTAGCATACACAACGTTCACAAGAGTCAAAATGACCTGCAACTAGCCTACACATGGCAGAGTCTTGCTTCATGATGTGAGGGTGAGCATTTTTAAAAGTGCTCTGAGTTGGTCTGCCACTGAAACTTCTGTTTTGACATATCAAAAGGAAAAGAAATAAACAGAGTGAGCACTTTTGAAAATCCCACCACCAATTAACAAAAAATAGGACTTTCTGTGTTAACAGGAATGGTAGAGTTATCTACTTTAAAGTAAGACTGAGGATACTTTTGACGGGAATGGTTGTAGCAAAGTTGAAGCTTTTTACAATAGAAACACTGTATTTGTTTATAATACAAGTAAAGAGAGCACAGGATATAATAAAATATACAGACAATGCAGTATTATTTAAAGTGCAATCTGTACTGACACCACCCCAACAAAATTATTTCTTTACTAGAAGTCTGTATTAGCATAAAAGTATTTCCTCGTATTCTGTAGATTCTCAAGAGGTATCCATACCTGACCAAAAGGATATTGTTGCTGTGTGACTCCTACTGATGTGTGACTGAAGGTGCTGATAGATTTAGAAGAGGAAGCTGGAAGACGATGTGACCCACTGACTGAAACTTGAGTTCTATTCTGCTGCGCAAGTTGATCTCCAGTAAAATTTCCTCCTGATGCAATAGACTGAATTGAAGGCCCCAAGCTTGGATGTACAGAGCCAGAACTTGAAACAGTGAACCGGTTTGATGCTGATATATTTGACACTGAAGACTGTCCAGGTGACATTGTAGTAAAACCTGATCTACCTTGAGAAACATTACCTTGACTCGGTGATAAATGCAGCACGGTTGGTGATGCCTGTTGTAATGGCACCTGTCCCCCAACAATTTGAGAATTTCCATGATTTACTATAACTTGGCCTCCAGGAGCTGTGAATGTCTGACCAGAAACTAACTGCACAGCTGTGTTCTGGTTATTCAGCATCTGTCCTGAATATGACTGGTTGGCTCTGAGCATGTTGTTAGAGTTTCTGTTCAACATAACATGTTCAGCAGATACTTGGCTTGGAACCAGCTGGGAAGGTTGAGTCTGAAGAAGTTGTCCATTTATAGTCTGAACATGATGAACTGAATTAGAATTGACAGAGAGACTTGTAGGTATGAGAAATTGGTTTTGAGGTGCATGAGGCTGTCCCATAGGAGAATGGATAACAATACTACCTCCAGCATTGCTAACTGTTTGAGGTGTAACTGATTTTCTTGCGTTTTGCTGATTAACAATATTAACAGACATATGAGGACCAACTACTGAATTCTGAGGTGAGTTTGCTGAACCAAAAGGAATTCCTTGTTGTACATGATGCTGCTGTATTCCCAAATTATTCACACTGTACGAAGCTTGCTGACCCATCTGAATAGGCTTTGGTTGGATATTAATGGGGACTTTATTAGAATTTGGTGCTAGACCCCTCTGAATGATGATATTATGCACAGGTAAAGATGTCTGAAAATTTGTGCTATTAAATGGAACAGTTACAGGTTGTGCTACTGGACTTGAATTTGAATTACCAAATAATGAGTTACCATTAGGAGTCTGTCGATGAACTAGGAGTCCACCACTCATGTTTGCTGATGCTTGCTGTCCACTGCCTTTCAATATAATCTGAGATCCATCAAGGTTATTAATGGTCATCATGGAAGGCTGATTACTAAATGAACCAATTAGCTGTATCTGCCCAGAACCACTGATCTGGTTGTTATTTGACAAGTGTTGGCTGGGAACACTAATTCCCACGTGTTGCATAAAGCCATGTTGCACACCAACTGTATTGCTTGCAAAAGATGTTCCAACAGGTTGCTGTACCACTTGAGTAACTCCTATAGGTTGCAACGTCTGACCTGAGTAATTAGAAACATTAGAAGCCTGAGTAAAGGATGCTGATGAAGAAGGATGAAGCTGAGCTTGTGCAAACTGTTGGCTAGAACCTATACTGGCATCCAAGTATGCCTCTTCTGCCAAAGTCTGTTCAGTAATATTGGCCTCCTGTAAGGACTTCTGAAGAATATCAAAAGGCTGATCCTCACTGAGATCAGGTAAAGGAGAAGATTCAAGTTCATCTTCAAGAAACTGAAGGCTACTTGACAGTTGCAGTCCATCACTAGGCCCCTCTCCAAGCTGATTGCTTACACCTTTTATTGATGTTTTAGGATCAGTGTTCTGAAATATAAAAGAACAAATAAATTTAATCATATGTTTACAATAATTTTATATCTAAAATGTTTCCTATTTCGTTTTTTCCCTAAAAAAACATGAATTGCCTCCATAAATGTTATCCTACAAAAATAGGTTGAAATTTAGTCTACGTAGAGGACCAGCACAAAGCTTGTGCACCAGTTAGGTGCAATTTGCACATTTAAAATAGGCTCCGGGGGAAACTTATCTCTCTACCCTTAGATCCCCAAACTCACTGTCTGCATAGCACTCAGCTCTGAGGCAATTCTGGTGCAGGAGGACATGAAGCTATTTCATAGCCTCTAAAAGTACCACTTTTATGTCCTGGAGTTGTGTACTGTGTGGGAAAGGGAAGAAAGGGGAGGATCCAGACCTCCACTGCAACTGATTTAAGAGCAGGAAAGCAGTAGCAGCACAGGAAGATGGCAGCAAAGTGGTCTTTCCCTGCCCTTTCCTGGTTCTAAGTGGATCCCTCCACTTTCAGAAAACTGCCCATGTTGTTTTCTGCAGTGGCTGAAATGCAAACTCATTATCAAACTAAGAAACTCTAGTCTAGATTTAAATTAATTTCACTGGAATTTTGGAGAGGCTATATTAACCAGAGCCATGGTAGCGATATGTTTTTTGTTATGTCTACTATTAAAAATTCCAAAGAACTATACATTATACAACTACAATAAACTTTATAAAGGGGTGCAATGAATATGAAACTCTTTAGATTTATAGCAATCTTTTTTTGGCTAGCAGACTTGAAACTGTCTGTACCCTGAACTACTTGTAGCCAAGAAAACAATTTTCATACTGTACAAATTTATTTGGCTACCTTAGTCAGCACAGGTTTCAAAAGACTAGAAAAAATAGTTTAAACCTGAAAAACTTACGTAGGTTTTAAGTTTAGTAAACAATATGAATGTTCCTCAGGTGTAAAATTTAGATTCCATCCTACTAAAACTACAGGCTTGAAAACCTAATTGCTTTCTTTCTGTTCATTGATAAACTGTTGAGTTTATAAACTTTGCCCCCTCTCCCCTTTTCTTGGTTACCATGCTGTTCCCTAAGCATACCTGATTTAACTGGTTAATTAATTCACTTCAATTTATGATTTCTGTGTCAACCTGTTACAGAATTTGGCATGCATATTTTACAAAAGTATCTTTCTTAATGTAAAATATTATACAATAAAAGTTCTGATAACTGGCATCTTACAAGCCAACATGCTCAATTAATCGGCATGCCGGCTTGTAAGATAAAGTGAAACCAGAAGCGCCCACCATGGCACTTCCAGTTTCTCCAAGCTCCCGTGGCCCAGGGCAAAGCAGCCTGTGCTGCCAAGCCCCAACGGCTCGGGGGCAAAACACGCTGTGTGGGACTGTGCAGGGCCCGCCACCCTGTCCCACAGGGCCCGCGGGAGGGGCGGCAATGCCGCAGGAGGGGCAGCGGGACACCCCAGACACAGTGGGAGAAGCAGCGGCCCGGGCCACTCAATTAACCAGCATATTTTGTTATCCGGCATCCCCCAAGAATGGGGGATGCCGGATAACAAAGCTTTTACTGTAGGACTCTTACTATTTTTAAATAGCACTAGAAACCTTAAACTTTATTTCTAAATTCATAATATGTAGTATATGTATAAAAACACAGGAAATAAATCTGGCTAGTATCTTTGATACCAGCACCTTAGAAATACTTAATATTATGCTCCATATTATCTGCTGTATCCAGCCATTAGCCCAGTAGAACGGAATTTAATAGGACCTAGCTACAACTCCCTTGACATGCAAAAAATGTCACAGGTGAGATCAGCCTCTTCTCCTGTGAGCACATTTATATTTTCTTCTACAACCACTCTCATGTATGGGAGGAACTCCCAGTCAAAATCCAGCAGTTCCCAATAAACCTATGGATAAATCCTCAACATTCACCTCTTCTGTATTCCATGCAGAAAACTTCTATCACTTATGGTGACTGTAAACACTGTTTCTGATTGATTTCCCCACTTCATACAAACCAGCTCTTACGTCTTATCTACCTCTTATGTCTTATCTGTTAAAACCTGAGCTATTTAAAGCAGCTGTCATTTGTTATGTTTGTCCCATAGATAAGAGTAAAATAATAATAATAAAGGATGCAACGCAGGTCAGTGTCCCGCTGCAAGTACAGCAGCTAGAGATAAATCATAAGAACTGTACTCATGTATTCATAGTTTTGAATTGCCTAATATGGCAATTATCTAAGGCCCTCATACATGTATATCAATAATTTTAGGCAATGGGGTCATCAACTATGAAACCCAGAAAACTATGCGTAAACAGTCTTCTTATTTAATTCAGTAATTCTTATTCTTATTTCAGTACAACGAAGGCAGCAAAATAATGCAAAACTCTTCTACATGCAATGTTGAATGTTTTATTATTACTTAAAATACTGCCCATAAAACATTTTTTCAATAGTATACTTACTATACACAATAATCTCTGTTGTTGCATACTCTATCATGAGATAACAAAACATCCTATAAATCTTGAGTTAAATGCAAGGGCCCATATCTAAGTTTAAAGTATTTTTTTTCCATGACAAGCTCAAAAAGGGGACTGTTACCATTAGAAAGCACTATGAAAAATATTTAAATGTTTTATTATTTTAAATTACCACCTCTTACTGAAACATTCTCTAATAGCAAGAGGGTAATCAGCCGTTAATGATTACTTGAAGATAAAGATGTTGAATACTCAAGATTCTAAACACACTGACAACATTCCGGTATGAATTAGGACTTTGTAAGGATGGAATCTCAGCACTGGAGTCACAGGAAGAGAATGTTCTGTCTTAAAGAATTCAGCTTTATTGTACATTACTTGCTGGATTAAAGTATAAACCACAGCATGTAATTTTTTTAATGAATTAGAACAACAGGGAACTGCTATGTCAGGTTCTACCCAGAAATAAGACGGGATAAGGTCCTAATGCATGCAAACAAATTGAGAAAGACTGTAACTGAAGGTCTACATTTACTATGAGCACTAACACTATAGATTCCACAGTTTATTTCATAGAAGTAACATGCAGAACATCCATGTTAACATGTCCAGTAAAACTGTTCTCCCATGCTAATCACCAAGGATCCTAGTTTTCTATTTGCCACAGAAAAACACAGAATCCATATTTTTCCGTGACCTACCGAAAGTGTGGCAGTGTCCTGTGGCAAGCAGTTCTCTTATTTTTGCCATGGTTTTTGCCTCCCAGCCAATCACAGGAAGGAAGGGAGTAGGTGCTGCTGATCAGCCGAGAAACAAAAACTGCAGCAAAAATAAGAGGACAGAAATGGCACCACTCACCATGGGATACCACTGCACTTCCAGCAGGCCACAGAAAAGCATGGATTTTTGTGGGTTTTTAGATAAAGATTTCTTTTTTGCTTTTTTTTCCCCCAGCAGAAAACTAGGGTCTCTGCTAATCACCTCTAAAAAGGAACCTAATTCTTCCATGAATTTTTAAGCTAAACCTGCTCTGGGGCCTCAGTGGCTCTAGAACAAAATTTAGAATGCCATCATACGAAGAAAATCAAAGGCTGAATCTGATCCATTCAGTTTTATATAGCATAAATAAACTACAACGGAAGTATGTACATTTTCTCTTCTAAATACTTACATTGGAGTTGGCGAAAATTGAATTTGAGTTGGCTACAGAATATCCTGCATTTGTCAAGTCTTCATTGCTCTGTTAGAACACAAATACAGCAAAATCAATGTTTTGCAGCAAGGCAGCCACTAAAGTTTAGACACTTTTAATATTTGAGAATGCTACTTACAGATTTACTACTAGGTCCATGCAGAAAATAATTCAGTGCCTGTGGGTCCCTTTAAAAACAAAACAAAAAAAATCACCATTTCAAGTACTTCTATGAGTTAAAAAGGCATAAATAAATGAAGTAAGTGCTCTGGTCAAGTAAATCAGAGTAGCTCCACTGACTTTAAAAGAGCTACGCTGTTGGCAAACCATGTTTATTATTAATTATTAATATTTTTCACTACATTTCTGTAGTTTTTAAAACTATGAAAGCTTTCTAGTCAAAATTAGGAAATAATTACATTACAATGTCTTACAGAGTTTGAATTAATAAATGCTGATTTCCAGGAGGAAAAAACCCAAACATGCTTATAGTTCCATTCAAATCAACACTTGACACAAATATACAGTATTCTGTAAGAGCATAAAAGGACAAATACTATTATTAAATCAACTAGGACAGCTAAAATAGAAATAATATCTTCTGATGAGATCAGAGGTAATGCCTGCAACTGTATTTCTGCCCATGTCCTCATGAAGACTTACTATAATACATAGAAATAAATGTTTTCTTGCCTATATACTAATAAAAAGTGCTTTTCTCATGAGTATTTTTTCTTGAGAAATGGCTGCAACTTTTCCAAATGAATTTAACTCCATAACAGATCAAATGTAACGTAACTGATTAAATGCATTTTTCTTTTGATAACTTGATTCAGTGTCAATACATAATTAAGGAGTGTGGTCAGATAAAATGACTATTTGGAGTCAGAATGTGTTAAAAACACACACACATAAAAGCACATGCAAATCTGGTAGGAAAAATTCTCAATGTATGCATCCATATAACTTTTTATTAAATGAGATTATTTTGTTGTTACTGCCACACACAGGAATTTATACAACTGTTTTGTGAAACACCCATTAATGTGCACATAACCAAGGCAAAAAGATACAGGAATTCTTTGATTTAAAACAAATCATCTTTATTTTTAAACAATATTAATTAAACATTTGTGAGAACCATGGTACCCCTCCCCCAACCCAGGTGTAAAAAAATGTCAATTCAATACATCCCCTTCTTCTTTCTTGAGCATCCTAAAAGACAAACAGGAAACAAAATAAAGACCCCTTCAAGTATCCATCTAACCTAAAAAGCAAGAGCTTACAAAATACCTTTTTTTTACATTTGAAAAAAAATCACACTGTATTCAACCATGTTTAATATAAACATTTTTATAGTCTTTCATGATTCTAATTTATTTAAGGTCTAGACATCTGAAGTCAGAGTCTACTTACATATGTTACAGCTTTTACACTTTTCATTTTCAAAAAGAAATCTGATCCTCATTGAAGATTACAGCAAATTACAAGGATAAAAAGGAAAAGTGTCATTGCTTCAGTTGTGGATCCATTAGATATGAATTAGCTATATGGGATTTTACTGATAAATAATCAAGGTTTTTACTATCAGCATTACTAAAGAAGTATTGTGGTCATTAGTTATTTAACTCTAGTTGTTTTATCATTATTTTAACTACCATTGGTTGCTTGCCAAGGTGCAGGAAAAAATGGTGCTTTACTTTCAACTTGGCGCACACCTGTGCCAAGCCCAGAGCATGCCCAGAAGAGGCAGCACATTAGTTGCACCCATCTTTCCCACCTTCCATATACAGCAGATGCTTTAGTGTGGCTTTTTTGGTGCTTCATCTAATAGCTGATTGAGTCAGCTTTAGCTAAAAACACCAAAAAGCCCCGCTGAAGCCCCTGATCTATACAGACACTGCAGAGTTGGGTCAAAGTAACACACTGCTGCTTCCAGGTTTTTTCTTCCCCACATCTGTCAGCGCCCATTGTTAATATCTTATAGCAATTCTAAAAATGAATTCATAAAGATTAGAGGGCACTTACCAAACTCAAAGGTGTAATGGAAAGGATGCTCTGGCTGATAACTGCTACAAGCAGTAGACACTACAATAGGGGACAATACATGTAATGCTTCATCCCAACACTCTCCTTTGTGTAGGACCTCATTTTCTGGGCACTCTGCAGACTTAACTGGTGTCTTCATAAGTCATGCTTATGATGGATCTCTTTCACTTCATTTTCCATTCTGTCTATTCTTATCTTTATGTTCCAGTGAAGGAGCAATATTTTCCCATTCAGAGTTGAAAGGGAAACCAGCAGTCTCACTGTATAATGTATATGGCATCAATTTTAGGCAACACTGCCAACATCCTGTTATCCTGCCACATTGTTCAGAAAGTAAACTACAAATTATAGCAATCATTGGTCCTTTATTCCTTTTACATTCAAAACTCTCACTGATTTTAAGGGAAGTTCTGGGTGCATAAGGAATGCAATATAAGATGCCCAAGTTCACTGTACACTTGAGATGTTTTAAGATCAGATCATCATACTTGACTTGATCTACATCTAGTACTACATAGGAACTTTCCTTTTATGGTAACTGACTTATCACTTGAAATCAAACTTTTTTCCCCCCAAGAGTTCAAAAGAAATGCTATGTATTGTATAGTCAATAAATATGAGACACATTATAGAAGCTATCTATTCTTGAAGAACAGAATTAGTATCTTAGTCAAGGGAAGAAAACTTCCCCATGCCTACAGTAAGTATATAGCAATTTCTCTTGGATTACAGCTGTACCTATTGATTTATGAATCCCATATGGAATACCCTGCCCACCTCTAGATACAAATGTTGTGGAAACAAACAAATAGGACTATAACAGGGTTTTCCCATGGGTAGGGGTTTCAAATAAAATACCTTTGAAGAGACAACTGATACCCTGTTTGTAATTTTTATAATATGAAGCAGCAATTCTATATTCTTATTACATTCTTATACGAATGCATTTTATCACCTGCAAAAATGATTGAACTACTTTGTATGTTGAAATAAAACACACATTTTAATATTTAATTTAGAAGTTCAGAGCTTACAAAGTCACTGCACTGATGGCTCTAAAGCCTGAAGTCCTTTATTTATCAAAAGTATTAAGCATGCGTTTTGCAGCAGCAATACAAGCTATCTTACAAAACTAACAGAAACATGACTAAATAAATAGGAGAGTTCAATCTCCATGTCTATTCAGACTTTTCCTATTTTGAAGAAGAATGTCAATAAGTGGACTCCCAACTGTCATAAACTCTGAGACTGGGCTTTAAGCTGTCCACAAGGGACAGAACAGTAACTAAGTTCATTTCACTTATCGGCCAGCAAACTGACACATATAGGTTCAGACAGCATTGGAAATGAATCCTCTTCTGACATTGATTAATTTTTGTACATTGTTTTTTGCATCGCTTCTCCATAAGAATTTCTTAAGGGGAACTTACCCAATAAGATCAAGGAGACAGGATTCATCGTCGTCATCATCCATGACAACTAAAGCAAAAAGGAAAGGACTGATATTTCATCAAAATCAGACTAAAGATTTCCTTCAACAATAAAGTCATTTAAAAGTACACCAAATTTTTAATAAATATGTCGTGGGTATTGAGAGATGTGGGCCATATTCTCAGATGAATATGTGCAACTCCAGCTGAGTTCCATTTGAGTCCCACACTCCTACCTCCGTGCAGAATCTAGCACTGTGTATATAGCTGCAAAACTTAGGGTAATATTTATAGTGAAGTTCTGTAGCTATTTAAGAAATGGAAACAAACAACAGCCTGACCAAATTAATCAATCAGACCTCTTGTGGATGAAAAAATTAATTTAAAATGTATGTTATCTGTAAACTCATCTTTCTTAATAAAACACGTTTACACTATGTTTTACAACAGTTTTGCCAAATTTTTGTCCAGCCTGAGAGCTGGCCACAGCTGGAGTACAAAGGAGTGTTGCCGAATGTGAAATATTGATAAGGATTACTAAGATATATTGCTTTGTTATTCAGAAACTTAACAAGGTGAAGTTTAGGAGAACAGGGCCCACAGCCTACTAGATTAGAGAGAACACTCAATAGAATTAGGTATTGAGCAAACTCTTTTCTTAGAGCCCGTGAACATTTCTGTTTCAGGAGCTACCTCTCACAAATATTTCCACTGTTTCTTCTAAGCAATGTCCATAAACATACTTGAGCAAGCTCTGTTGCTAGCAGGACTAAGAAAGGGCTACTACATGTAGAATGCACATTTTCCTCTACATTCTGCTGGTCTCTCCTCCAATAAACTCGTCTTCCAAGATATAACCAATAGGGCTGTGCGAAGCTTCGGTCACTGATTCAATTCGGCGGAGATTCAACCCGATTTGGTGGCTGAATCTCCGAATCGTATCAGGAGACCCCTTAATTTCTCCAAATCAAATCGGAATCCTCCAAAATCAATTCAGAAAGATTGAAATATAGACACAGCTTTAAACGTTTGGTTTTTTTTACATACCTCTAGGTAGCAGGCGACTCGTCAATGCTGAGATGGTGGGGAGGATGGAGCGTCTCACAGGAGTGCGGCGGGGTCCCCAGCACACTCGGCAGCACTTCCGGTCCACTTCCGGGTCTGCCGGGGAGCATGCTGGGGTACCCCCCTCAGCTCGGTAACTCGTGCCTCCTGGGTCTGAGGGTCTGAGGGGGCACCCAGGGTCTCCCCGCAGCTGACTGCATGCCCTTGGCAGCAGACCTGGAAGTGGACCAGTAGTATGTCTGGTCCACTTCCAGGTTCACCGCCAAGTACACAGGGGACCCCCCGGGCTCCTGTGGGATGCTCCATCCGCCCCACCACCACAGCATTCACAAGCCGCACACCCGATACCTCAAGGTATGTAGAAAAAATATTTAAAGCTGTGTCTATGCCCAAATCAGCACTGAATCTTCAGATTCGGATTCAACCAAATAGAATCGGGACAGTGATCTGAATCAACTAATTGAATCACTGTCCCCAATTTGGGTCGAATCTGAATCCAAATCAAATATGGCCCATTCCACACATCCCTAATAACCAATTTCTTCATCGGCCCTATTGCTAAACTTCTCATCCACACTTTGGCCCTCTCTTGATTATGATAGCCACTTCTTTTCTGGCATATCTCTCATCATAACAACTTCTTCCAATCTACCTAAAGGAGGCCCATGTATCACAAGAGGGCATCTCCTGAATTAGTATTTAAGGACAGATTCTTCATACTAGAAAAATAATTTTTTCCCCTATCCACCAGCACATCTGCTTAGTGCCATGTCATTACTCATAAGCATGCACCGATGGAGATTGTGGGGGCTGATACCAATAGCCCATTTTTAAGGAGGCATATCAGCCAATATCAATCCAATTTCCGATACAGCTGCATACAGATGGTAAGTCTGTTGTGGTGAAAGGGGAGGGGAAGGAAAGGGGCACGGGAGGGCAGATCAAGGCCTCTGTAGTGAGGGAGGGAGTAGGGCAGGGGCTGGGGTAGGCGCTGCCCAGCCGGAGCGGGCTGGGGCAGGGCAGGCGTGGGGCGAAGCTGCGGCTTGTCTGGGGAGCACAAGGGGGGAGGGGCTCCCGCCACTTGTTCAGGAGGGCACGGAGGGGGAGGGAGGGGGTGTGCCCCCAGGTCTCTGCTGGGAGGACTGGGCAGCAGCAGCGCTGAGGGCAGGGGGCTATGTAGCCTCCTCCATGGCCCCCTCCCAGCACCGCTGCTGCCTGCCCCAAGCATAGCACAGTGTAGCCCCTGGCTCCAGCTTGCAGCTGCAGCCCACCCAGCGCAGATCCAGAGGCATATGCTCCCTCCCTGCCCCCTCCTGCCATGCCCTCCCAGACAAGTGGCAGGAGCGGTGGTGGGAGCAGCCCGGACCAGGGCACAATGGTGGAAGCTGCCCCCCTCCATGCCCTCTGAATGAGTCCTGCCCCCACCCCCAACCCGGCTGGGCAGCGCCTACCCCAGCCCCAGCCCCAGCGCCATTCCCTCCCTCACCGTGGGAGATGTTGATCTGCCCCCCCACACCCCTTCCCTCTTCCTCCCCTTTCACCACAACAGACTTACTAGCTGCACGCTGCCAGGCTCTTCTCCTCGCTGCCTGTGTGCTGTGCTGCACGGGCATTTATTGGTCAAATAATCAGCCACATCAGGGCAATTTCTGATATAGTCAATTTTTCTTTATATCGGTGCCAATCCAATATCGAACTGATGTGCACCTCTAAATACTCAGTATGGATGCTCATCTCGGGGTAGGGACAAACATACACTTGTAGTAGCTTCAAAAGGGGGCACGAACTGCTTTGGGAAGTATGCAGAAGTTGCTATAATAGTTACACCTGTGTGAGTCCGCTTCAAAACTACTCCAGCTCTAACTCTGGATGAAGCAATGTTAATGTTGAAGCTGTTTTGCTTTGTGTCACTCCCAGCTTGTGCATATGTAACTGTTAGAATGTAACAGCTGCTGTAAAGAAGCTCCCCCTCCTTTTTAAACTGCTCTCAATGTCCTTTTGTCCATAACTTTAGCTCAGTTCTATTATTATAGAATCATACAAAGTCTCTGCATCTACATGTGTGGCCCTATTAGGTCACAGCAAAATAACAAACACCGCCATAGGACAGTACTTGTAAATACAAATATTATCCTGTCATGGCACTATTTACTGTGCAGCAATGCATGTGTAGATGCTGACAGGGCTGGCTGAGGCACAAGGGTGCTTCAATGCAGGGCTGCCCCCTAGATCCGCTGGCAGCTGAGGCTGCTCCAACCTGGGAATGTGCTGCAGTCCTGGGCACACATGTAAACACAGTGCCCAGCAGCAATAAATTTCAGTATGATACGTGCCGCAGTTTACTGTGTCGCTTTAATTTCACATGTAGATGCTCCCATAGGGTAACAGTAGCTGCAGCAGCTTCTCCCTTTTTGAATGCACTACACATGTACATTTGTCAATACCTCATGATTTGACTATTCAAATAAAACATACTTAACTGTGGTATTACTTCATTGTACACGAGTATATTTAATAGTCAACCTATAGCTTTCAGTGTAACTAGCTGAGTTTTACTACATGTTTTCCTGTGTTCTAACTGAGAAGTGAATCCCTGCCTCATGTATAATATCAAGGAGGAATTTTCAAAGGTACCTAAGTAACTCAGGGCACAAGTTCCACTGCAAGTCAGTAGGATTTGTGCTATTAAACTACATAAAATGCTTTTAAAGATCCCAGACAAACTCACTACCTCAGTGTATTTTCTTCTATTTGTAGATATATTACTGGATACTACTATTAAAGCAGCTGCTGATAAACAACTGGAGAAGAAACAAACATCACAAAAATCAAAATTGTTTACCTAAAGGACCATTAAATACACTCTAATGATGTGATAAGAATTAAATACTGCTAACAAAGAAATACAGGTCTAAATAAAAATTTGCTGAACTTCAGTATTTTTTACTACTTAGACTGAAAAAAATCAAAATGAGCTGAAATGACATTAAAATATCACCATTAGAAATCTGCAAAATAAGTTTAGAAAGGAAAAGACAGAACTGCATGGAAATGCAATGTACATAAAACTACATACACTGATTCATATTCTTCATTATCTGATTTATTTAAAAACCCTAATAAATTTAAAAACCCTACAAATGTGTTTTCCCCATTCTGCATATCTCAAACTATATTAAAGCCTAACCAACATACCACAAATACGATAAAGGAAAAACAAAATACTCTGCATTTTATTAATCCCCAAGGACCCAGGGTAGTCATAGTTAAAGAGGCCCCCACAAAAAGCAAGCTTCCAAAGCAATGAACTGTGAGTTGCTACTTCTTACAGTCTCATTACCAGTGGAACGGACTTTTAAGGGCAAATCCCTGCACTCAATATTGAATCTGAAGGGGAGGAGGGACGAGTTTGAAAGTATGTGTATTAGAGGTGTGCGAAATGGGCCATATTCAATTCGGATTAGGCCCGAATCAGGGACAGTGATTCAATTAGTTGATTCGGATCACTGTCCCTGATTCAATTTAACCGAATCTGAAGACTCAAAGCTGATTCAGAGAATCAGCGATTTGGACGCAGCTTCATTTTTTTTTTTTTTTTTAAAACATACCTCCAGGTACCAGGCACAGCTCATGAATACTGCGATGCTAGGGTGGATGGAGCATCCCACACAAGCACGGGGGGTCCTCTGCATGCTAGGCGGTTAACCCAGAAGTGGACCAGAAGTACTTCCAGTCCACTTCTGGATCTGCCAGGAAGCGCACAGGGGGGCCTCCCCGCTCCACCACCCCAGCTCAGCAATCAGCCGCAAGGAGACCCCTCGGTGTCCCCCCAGACCCAGGAGCCACCAGTTGCCAAGCCAGGGGGGGCCCCCAATGCACTCCCCAGTGCCTCCAATCTGCTTCTGAGTCTGCTGCTGAGTGCGCTGGGGAACCCCCCCAGGTTTCTGTGAGATGTTCCATCCGCCCCACCATTTCAACTTTGAC